TTAAGGCCTGCCTCAGAGTGAGAGAGTACTCCCTGCCCAGCTGTGCAAGGGAGAGCTGACAGCACCACCACCACCAAGCATGAAGCTCCTGGGGATTGTGTTCTTTTTCCTAGCTGTACTCTGTGTTTGCACTGTGGGAGGTAAGTTCTTTGGCTTTTTTGGATAGACTTGTCACATTTGTGGGGTGTTTTGTGAGCAAAAGCTTAGCTGTCAGTAGCTGGATGCTTTTTTTTAGTGCAGTGATTGAAATACTGTGTGTTGGAGGAGAAGAAGGTACTAACTGGTAGTTGAGTTATACGCGTTCTGTGAAAAACTTTCCTGCCATTGTATTTTTGTGACAGCTCTCTTTCTAGGTGTCATGAAGCTCCTCAATCTGAGAGGAGTTAAAAGCAGAGGTATATTTACAAAGGTTTTCTGTTCTGTTTTTCTTCTTTGAAATAAAGCATCTTTTGTAGAGATGGCTTTAAGGGGGTATTGAAATGTCTGTCAGATTTTGCAAATACTGCTCTTGCAAATCAAATCTATCCTGATGGGTTTCCTTGGCACTGTGCCAGCAATAAGTTTGGCCAAGGGTGTCTCTCAGAACTTATCTTAGTTTTGCCCCCAAACATATAGGCGCTTACAGAATTTATCGAGTGTCAAATAATGAGGGATGCAAGCCTAGGGGCAATGTTAGTTACTGAGTGCAATATCTTTTAAAAGTGATTCTCAAATGCACAGATTTAATCAAACTTTGTGGTGTTCATACAGTCACTGAACTGCTGTTTTTGTTATTCTTTAGCTTAAAAGATCATGCGTTTGCAGTGGAATTAATTAGTAAAACCTGAAAGGGTGAGGGAAACTGTAACAAGTGCCAGAGTCTATCATCACCTTTGTCAAAAGATATATTTGAAGTCAAATCTGCTTTTTATCTGTACTTTCATTTGCTGGCCCTCTGGTGTGAATACTGATAACCAAAGCTTCGACAAATGCTTACAGATTGCCTATCAGGGATTTTATGAATCAGAAATTAAAAAATTGATAATACTAGATTAGCTGATCTAAAAAAAGTTAATCAACTTTTGCTCAGATTATGTGTTCAAATCTAGAAATATCTTTTGTGGTGTAGCTTATGCTATTGCTTGGGCTCAGTGCTGTTAGGAAAGAAAAAAATCAGTAAAGGAGATTAAAAATAAGACTATGCCACAGAAAGAGCTGCTTTTAAAACTATGTTAAGTAAGTACAAGCCCCAAAAATTTGCGTTGAGGTACTATTTATTCTCTGTCTGCTACTCCTAGTAAAAATAGCCTTCCTGTCATTGTTAAACCTTTAATTTCACAACTTCTGAAAAGCAAAGTGGAGTTGGATCAAAAGGAGCATATTTAACACAACAGTCCATAAAGCTTATCAGAAAGCAACATGCAAAGGTGGGAGGAATTCTGTCAATTTTATACAATCCTTTCTTTAAAAAGGATTTTGCCTCCTCTGCATGATATGAACAGGGCAGAACTGATGACAGTGAATAAGCAAATTTCATATAGGATACATTTGCTCTGAACAATTTTGGTTCTATAAAAGTATTTTTTTCAAATGCTTTATTGCAAGGCAGACAAGGTAGTGAAATTCTGTTGGTAAATTCACATTAGAAAATTAAGAACCACTGTTTACGATGGCTAAAGTGTCCTGGACATCTGGTCTGTAACAGCAGGATCTTATAATCTGAAGAGAGGAATGGATGGTAAGAAGGCTGACGCCAGTCTCCCTCATGCTCAGTCTCCCTTTTTTGAGCATTGGAGACAGCAGCAAGACATTTCTCCAGTTGCTTAGAAACACTTTTAGTATTTTAAAATTATGCTCAGTAAAATTTAGAGAAGGTCAAATCACACCCCGGTATTTCAATACTCCCTCCCCCAGGTTTTGGGGTAGTTTGTCTTCAAAGCTTACCAAGGCAAGTAGTGTGTGGGCTTGCAGCCTCTTCACATAATACACACAAGCTGCTTGTCTTTGTATCTTTTGCAAATCATGCAGAAGTGGACAAGGATGTTTCCATTGTGGTTAGTAAAGAAGGTACCAAGTCTCATGCGGGGCTTCCAAATTTCATGCCTTGCCTTCAGCCTGTATGCTGGCCATGCTTTCTTGGTAATTTTCTAATTCATCTCAGCATCTTGCAACTTCAGAACTCCCTAATGTTTTGGTGGGATCTACCCTCTGTCAGCAAATTACTAGAGGCTCAGTTATGTACAGATGTGGAGGCCAATACCCTCCTGACAACTTGTCCCTCCTCTTGAGGCTTTTCTCAAACCTTTGAGAGCAAAATAACGTGCTTAAAGCAGGAGTTACTTCATGCTCATCTCAAGGTGTTTGGTCCTCCTGGCATATTGCTCTTTATTCTTACCTGCTCCAAAACATATCTCAAATAGAAATGCTTTCTGGGTTGGTTCATAGTATTTCCAGCTTTAAACAACAGACAGCACTGGAATGGGTCAAAGAATATATTGCCAAGGGATAGTAATCAAATATAAATGCTCTTCAGTCTGCATTATGGTGTAATTACTTTTAAAATGTGTAAATGTGAAGTTTGTTCTTCTAAAATATGAGCGGAGAGGAATTGGCATGTGCTTATACCGTAAGTGCTTAAAGATTACATCTTCCTGTACCTTGGCCTTGCAATACAACATAGCTATGACTACATGGCATAGCAGATGTCCTCCTCAAAGTGCATGTAGCACACCACAGCTTCCTTCTCATTCAGGCACCCAGGTTTCTTTCTTACAGAAATGATAGCAGAAAAGAGTGGGATTGTACTCCTCTTAGCATCGGTCTGCATGCTGTCAGGTTATGCACTGAAATGTAGGAGCTGGAACTTACTGTCTCCTGTTGTGGTGGTACAGGGGGTGGGTTTATTAACGTCTGATTAGTGACCCCTGTTGACAGCTAGCAGTATCTTTCTCCAAGAGTGCTCTTGTCTAAATTGATGGTGCTCCAAAAAACCAAGGGTGCTTTTCATTTTGGGAAGGTAGAAGCAAACCTTGGCATGGAGAGCCTGGCCCAAAGTCCACTGAAGCTGTTTGGAGCTGTTCCATTACACTGTGGATCAGCCCTAAGTTATGTGCTTCCCAACCCCCTTCCCCGTTAAGGGGATGCTGTGGAGCCTGGGACATCATCCCAACCCTACCACACAGTAGATTAATCCCAGCTCCCAGGCTGATAGCTTGAGAAAAGTTCCACTAAGACGAGGCTCCTGTAACGATTACATACATTTGCAGCTGCCTGAACTCCAGTCTTGTCGCTGTTAACTAGAGGAGATGGATAGCCTTTTCCTTTTCCATCTTCTCTGCTCTCAGCTCACAAGACTTCAAGTCTTTTAAAAAATTCATTTTTGAAATTAATTACTAACTAAACTGTTTTGAGCAGTTAAAGCTTTTGATGATGGTCTCCCCACATTCTGGGTTATTATTCATGGCTGTGCTCTGGGAGAGAAAACCAAGGCACAGATTGTCACAGTCAGATCGTTGTCTCATCTCTGAAAATTTGAGAAATGTGACTGGGCTTTAGACAACTAGCTGCTTTTTCACACCTTTAGCTTGGTTGAACCCAAACTTTGAATGTCTTGAGAGTTTGCCTGTTGGGAGAAAAAATGTGGTTTGGGTGTTTCCACCATTCCTAGCAGTTTGCAAGACTAGCTTTCTCAAAAATCAAATTGTACTGCTGAAGCTTACCGCAGCTTTTATATTTTTGTTTCTGTACAGATTTTTTTCGTTCGTTCTTCCCCCCCTTCCCCCCCTCCCCCGCTGCCACATTCCTTTCATTCATTAGAGCTTTCTCATATTGGGCCAGGTTTGCCTAGTGGATTTTAAAGGTGTATTTATTAGTGGACAGAAAAAGATTGCTTGTTCGAGTCCGAAACCCAAATGCAAGTTTGCTGCATTTACTGAGGATAGAAGCAGATGGCTTGATACCTGCTTGATAAGGAGATTATGATTTGCAGCCAAAATAAATAGAAACTGAATTTGAAGGGCAAGTTGCCTGCAGCATTCGTCTCCAAACCTGAGAATACATAATGCCATATAACATGCCCAACAAACGGTTGTCTCTTCTGAAAATTTACCAGAATGTTTTCTCTTTTATTTAGCTGTCTCTTTTATCTGGATTAAAACATAGAGTTCATATTAATCTTTACTCCTTTATAAATTAGGAAAAAACATCTGCTGAGGCTTATGTTTTGGTTTGGTTTGGTGTTTTGTTTTTTTTTCTTTTTTTTCTAAATAGGAAAGGACCTTGAATTTGGTCTCCAATTGTTTATACATCTGAGTCCTGTGTGAAAAACTTGCAAAAATAAGAATTAAAAATAATCTTTAAGAAACTCTTAACCTAGGGAAGGGAGCGTTTTTAACCTGTACCATTCAGTAGCCAGGCTAATGTCACAGTCTAGAGATAAGTAAAGCCCCACAGTAAAATCACATGGGAAAGACATCTTTATTATTTGTGTCCTTCATGAAGGCGGGGTAGGGTGTTGTTTGTTTGCATTGTTTGCTGAGACAACTCAAGGAAGACCCTTTAGTGGTTTTCTTTTGCAATTCTGTAAACAGGCAATGTTGGATTTGTGTGTGTAGCAGCTGTTTTTTCCAAATACAAGTCAACAATTAAAGACCTGGCTCCTCTAGAAGACAAACATTTACTTTTGGTTTCAGCTAGCACTCTAAAAATAGGTGTCCCAGATTTAAACAGAAGAATCGAAACCCTGAGTTGCACCATGTCCTGCCATGCAAGCCACTGTTATTGTCCCAGCACCTGAGCTATCAGGTAGTGATACCTTGGCATTCATCTTGTGAAAAAGGGGCCTTGGATGCCCTAACAGCAGCACACTGTATCAGCCAGAAAAGTGGTTTGACACCTTTTAATATGATGCTATCTCTATGCTGTGCTTACTGAACCTCCCTCCCCAGGTGAGAAAGCTGTGGTCTGATGATCATTTGCTGATACAATGGCTCTAAGGGGACAAAATTCAGCAGGTGTGATCTGCTTGGGTATTGTTCCCTTGCAGGAGAGAGAGAAAAGGGGTAGGAAGCCCTCTGATGCCACCCGCACATGTACTAGAGGCTGGTCTGGAGGGGCCCAAATTAATTCCAAATCATTTTACTCTGGGGGTGGTGAGGCACTG